GAATTAGGTGAATAATAAACATCATTTGATTTATAATTATAACGGAAAATCATCGTTTGTAAAGTGGAAGGCATAGAGTCTATGTGAAATGATCATTGGTCAATTATGAAACCAGCCTATTTCATAATTTGGGTTGGGTATACAGGTTATATAGCACAAATATGTGAAGTACACCTTCAGTATGGAAACAGTACAACAAAATGGCCGTTTTACACTTTTTTCTAGTAAATTCCTCTCTATATATATATTCTAATCTCTATGGTTAATAGAAAGAATTAGTTAAACTAGGTACCGGTCGTTGAACTGCTTTTCTAATGTGGTCGAAACTAACTAATAATGTAGTTGAATTATCAATTCCGAGTTGATCTACTTCTCAGCATTAAAAAATCCGACCTTAGGTTTGTTAACTCTAGGCTTAGAGGAGAGTGGAGTTTATCTTTACTCCAACATATATCAAGATCAAGAAGAGGATCAGGATTCAAAACCTGGATCAGAGCAAACCAGACCAGTACCATCCAGGAAACTTCAGGTATTGTTTCTTTTATTGACATAATAATTTAATATACCATTAAAAGACAGAGGACCATGCTAAGCTTTAAATCGTCATTAAAGAGTTATCCTTTAAAGGAACAAAACGAAGTTTTAGATATTTTAAAAAAATTTTCAAGTTTTGGATGAATATCTTCAGATATATGGAAGAGAAGGAGTTCCCATGCTTCTACCCTGTAAACCACATAATCCAGAAGTACAGGTTAAATTCTTTTTAAAGGGCTGTAAATGTAATTGAATGGTAATCCGATTCACAACGGTACCCGTTAATTGGACTGTAAGCGTGATTTCAAGTAACCCTCCATGCAAAGATGACAATGACCAATTTTCAACGGTACCCTGAAAACCTTAATCTGATCAAAAATGTGGAAGATACCGTCGTTTCTATGACGCGAAAGGTAGGTTTTTATTTCTGTGATTTTCTCCATTGCTTTTTAAAAGCATGAAAAAAAATATTGATATCTAATTCATACTTGATCAGACTAAGCTTTCGGGCATTGCCATCTTTTTGCATGGAGGGTTACTTAAAATTATGCTTTCAGTCCCTTTAAAAGCATATTTAATTGTACGTACATAAAATATATTATTATCAATAAACTAGGTTGTACTCAGTAAAGAAGGAGGGCGGCTGCCCCCTGATATTCAGTTTAACCCCCAGCACGGGTTCAGGTGAGAAACAAAAAGAATAATTTTAACATTTTTGAATTTTTATTTTTTTATAAAAAGGTTTCACTATCCAACATATTACGACCACTCTGGGAGCTACCTATGCCAGTTCTACCAAGAGACTTATAATATCAGGTTAGGGTTGCTTTTTTAAAAGATTTCAAAACAGTTGTTATAAATGTTAATGAAAAGGAGTATAAATGTCGTCTTCTTCGAACTTCAGGTAAAAAAGGACCCTTTAAAAATATTATCATTATTATA